TCACAGGGCTCTAGACTCTTCTAGTCCCTGTGGACAAACTGACACAGCCCACTCACTGGGCTCTAGACTCTTCTATTCCCTGTGGGGACACTGACACAGCCCAGTCACAGGGCTCTAGACTCTTCTAATCCCTGTGGACACACTGACACGGCCCAGTCACAGGACTCTAGACTCTTCTAGTCCCTGTGTACACACTGACACAGCCCAGTCACAGGGCTCTAGACTCTTCTAGTCCCTGTGGACACTGACACAGCCCAGTCACAGGGCTCTAGACTCTTCTAGTCCCTGTGGACACACTGACACGGCCCAGTCACAGGGCTCTAGACTCTTCTAGTCCCTGTGGACACGCTGACACAGCCCAGTCACAGGGCTCTAGACTCTTCTAGTCCCTGTGGACACTGACACAGCCCAGTTACAGGGCTCTGGACTCTTCTAGTCCCTAGAAGTGCGTTGAGAGTAGGAGGGAGTGTGAGGTGAGTCATTGTTTTCCTGCAGAACGATAACAAGCTTTTGTCCTGAGAAGAATCTCTTTATCTCAGCCTGCGTCAGTCACAGCTTAACACTTGGAGAGGAAGAGCAGAGGAACATCGAATTAGAGGAGCAGGACAGCAGAGAGAGACCAGCAGTACAGACACACACAGTACAGACACACACACCCCACATAGACACACACCCCACAGACACCCCCCCCCACAGATACACACACCCCACGGACACAACCACCCCATAGACACACACAGTAAAGACACACACACCCCCTACAGACACACACAGTACACAGTCACACACACCCCACAGCCACAAACAGTACACAGACACACACAGTACAGACACAGACACAAACCCCCCACAGCCACACACAGTACACAGACACACACCCCCCACAGACAGTGGGGTATCCTACACATGACAGCACTGTCCATACTAACGAGAATGATCTGCACTAACGAGTCTGTGACGCCAGCCCTCAGTAACGATCCCGCTGGCAGATGACAGTGACTGAGCGCAATGCAGGCTCCTGGTGTTACACCCCGCTGTCCCTGCCCCTGTCCCGCCTGTCCCTGTCCCTCCTATCTCTCCACTCCAAGGCCCCAGTCTGGCCACTCCAGATGGAAGTGAAAATCTCACAGTGAACAGGAGCCCAGAGCGCAGATTAACCCCCCAGTCCAGACATCGCTGGGAGCAGGACTCTCCTGTCACTGGCAGCTCACTGCTCAACAGCACCCTCCTGTGGCTGGGCAGGGGTCTCCTGGGAGAGCTGAGCTGGGGGTCCGCAGTGCCGTCAGAGAGCTGAGCTGGGGGTCCGCAGTGCCGTCAGTGAGAGCTGAGCTGGGGGTCCGCAGTGCCGTCAGAGAGCTGAGCTGGGGGCCAGCAGTGCCGTCAGAGAGCTGAGCTGGGGGTCCGCAGTGCCGTCAGAGAGCTGAGCTGGGGGTCCACAGTGCTGTCAGAGTGAGAGAAGACCCGCTTCCTCGGAAAGGAATCCCATATCTTCCTTGATTCTGTGCTGCGACAGTCCAGGGATCAGAGCAACAGACCAGGCAGACAATTAAAACACAAAATGAAGTCAAGTCCGATCTTTGCACCAAGAGTTGTAGGAGTGTGGAACAATCTACCCACCGATGCTGTTGAAGCCGACAGTCAAGGTTTTCTCGGGAATCAGCTGAGTGATGTCCTGGAATGAGTTCCTACCAAATCACTAAACCTGCCTGATGACTCAAACAGCCTCTCTGAGTGAGCAACAGCATCGCCACCACGAGACAGGAAGCACTAGACAAACACGGATATAAATATACTTCTTTTATTGTCAGTTCACTGCCATGTCCACTCTGCTACATTTGGCACAGGGGACACATTCCCCAGAGTACAATCAATCAGATCCCAGAGGAGACAGCACCTCTGGAGAATCAACAGACCTCTTTCACCCGGGCTCTACTCGCTGTGTCTCCTGTCCTGCTGTGTGTGTTTATTACTGAGGGGTTCTCTGTAATCTCCCCTCTCTCTCGCTGTGTCTCCTGTCCTGCTGTGTGTGTTTATTACTGAGGGGTTCTGTGATCTCCCCTCTCTCTTGCTGTATCTCCTATCCTCACCATCTGTGTGATGGTCAGTCTGGGTCAGTGGGTCAGTGGGTCAGTGTGGGTCAGTGCGGGTCAGTCTGGGTCAGTCTGGGTCAGTCTGAATGAGAATTTTCTTCTACACTAACCTCCTTCAGAGCTTGAAAATTCACCTCACACACAAACGCATTCAGAAACACGCTAATTTTATCACTCAGGAAAATACATTCGACACATGCAAATACCGCTGAAGAAGAACACAAATCTTAAAAAACATAAGTTAAACCTTTCCTTCCAGGCTGTAAACAAAAAACACAGATATGTATTTACAGAAAGAAATATACAGATTAATAATTAAAACAAGCTGCCTTAACGGTCTTCACAAGCCACCGCTGCTGAGTTTACTGAACCAGAACTGAACACAGTCGCCCCGTCTCTGCTGGATCACCCCTGTCAGGTACTGAACACTACCGGTACAGATGTGTGAACAGGGAGTGCCGTAGCAGTCAGGTACTGAACACTTCAGGTACAGGGTTCAGGGGTGAGGTTTAGGGATGTCAAGGGAGGGGTGCCAGAGAGGGTGTGGCCAGGGGCGGGGTGTCGGAGAGGGGCGTGGTCACGGGGTGGGTTGTTTGAGAGGGGCGTGGTCACAGGGTGGGGTGTCTGAGAGGGGCGTGGTCACGGGGTGGGGTGTCTGAGAGGGGCGTGGTCACAGGGTGGGGTGTCTGAGAGGGGCGTGGTCACGGGGTGGGGTGTCTGAGAGGGGCGTGGTCAGGGGGTGGGGTGTCTGAGAGGGGCGTGGTCACGGGGTGGGGTATCTGAGAGGGGCGTGGTCACGGGGTGGGGGTGTCTGAGAGGGGCGTGGTCAGGGGCGGGGTGTCCGAGAGGGGCGGGGTCAGGGGCGGGGTGTCTGGTTTGTGTCTGTGTTGAGAGTTGGAAAAGGGGTGGGTCCGGGGGTGGGGACAAGTGTAAAGGTTGGGGAACTGGGGTACAGGCTGGGGAACTGGGGGGTACAGGCTGGGGACCTGGGGGTACAAGCTGGGGAACTAGGGGTACAAGCTGGGGAACTGGGGGTCCTCAAGGCTGCTCCTCCTTCTTCTTCACAGAGATCCTCTTCTTCCTCGCCGCCAGCATCTCGTAGAAGGGGTCCACACTGACCGCAGAGCTGTGGGACAGGAGCGTTAGCAGAGACGTCCTTGACCCTGTCCCCCCTGTACCCCCTGTAACCCCTCAGTCTCCTCTGTTCCCCCCAGTCCTCCCTGTACCCCCAGTCCTCCCAGTACCCCTGTACCCCAGCCCCCTCTCTCACTTGATGCTGTGGATCCACTCATCCTTCTCCTCGGGTGTGGGGGCTGAGATGCGATAGACCATGTGATTCCCCTCCACCACCCGCCCGTCCGCCTCCGTCTTGCAGGCCTTGATCAGCTGACCGCGGTTATTGGGAATGTAGAGCTCGAAGCAGTTCTGCAGCGAGACACAGAGCGAGAGACATCACACACTGCAGGGCCCTGACAGGGCTGGACTGGGAGCTGGACTAGTTCTTCACTGGGATTATAATCAGACTCCACTGACACTGACAGAGCAGTCTGAGACTCTCCAGGCTGGACTGGACTGACCGGACTGGGAGCTGGACTGGACTGACTGGACTGGGAGCTGGACTAGTTCTTCACTGGGATTATAATCAGACTCCACTGACACTG